GAAGAAAGAAATGAGGATCGCCTTCCTGCTCTGCATTTAGCACACAATGGATCCTCCATGGAAAGGTCCTGGCTTTCAATCTTGGGCCACCAATATTAAAAAAGGCTAATTAAGATGCCTGACCCAGAAGGACCAGATCCTCACATCAATCTTTGCTTGCATCATGAGGGCTGCACAACTTCTGGACTTATTAATTAATAAGGGAAAATTTCTTAAATAATCGAAATACATAAATAAACACTGAGCCAAGAGAGGATATTCCAGAAGAAACTTACAAGAGGGATCTTTCTTTAGAAGGGCAGGAATAAAGAAGCCAAAGTATGTTATCGTCCCCTGGTGGACAAAGCTAGAACTGCTGCTGGAACAGAATCACACAGCCCATGTCAGGAAGCGAATTAAATGCATATTCAACCTTACAGAAGAGAAGAATTCATCTGATTTTCAGAGGCTACACATATACCCTTGGGGATACAACTCGAGAAGTAAACACCAAAATTATGCCATACTGTTTCTTTCTTTTTAAATTCATGCACTGAATAATCAAGCATGAAAAGATATTTCTAGGAGGATCAGGAGTTCTAGGAAAATAAAATACTTCCCACCAACTTTCAAATGCAGTGAAACACAATCCATGCAGGATGTGAGCTGCAGTCTCTGTCCTTCTGATCACATAGTCCCTTCCCACCAGTAAAAGACAGGTAGGGAGGAAGCTGTGTTCATTCAGGGGAGCGGACATTAAGAAACCGATTCTCTGGCACAGCCAGTACAGGCTCTTTAGTTGATCACAAGTAGCCAATGCAAGTATTAGTTTCCTTCTGATTTTCCTTAAGCAAAACTCAGCTTCCGTCCCTTCTTGTTCCATCCCCATTTCTTACATGTCCCCCAAATCGTTTTCAAGTAGTTTGTAACATCCCTGATCCCACCAGAGAAGCTAAAGTAGTGTGAAAGTAACCGACAACTAGAAAGCTGTGGGAACACTTCTCAGGGGGAAGAGCTCCCTTTGATACTGTGCCAAACGTTTCCCACTGAAGACAGAAAACAAGACAGCAGTCTGTTTCAAAGGGTGTGGTTCCTCCAAGTGACAAGCGAGTACGGCTCTCCATTGTTTCATTGCCTGGGACTCTGAAGAGAAAAGCTACACGTTTTAACATAGATGCTTTAGAGGTAGCCAGTTACTACCGAAGAGGCAAACTTCTAGGTCAATAATGGGGAACATCAAGGCAAATTAAGTGAAAGTTATTTAAAACAAGGAGAACCCTTGTTACTGATTTCTGTAATACAGAAATCTACCTTTCTCATTTTGTAAACTAGTCTTCCCATTCCAAATAGCCAGTGAAGTCTCCAAATGTCTTGAATTTATTATCAAATGTAATCAACTCTCACAATTCTGCGCTGTCCCACCAATAACGTAATGTCACCAGACAAAAAAGATTAAGAATGTATTAACAGCTGCCTTCTTAGACTCCCACCTCGTGTGGTTATTAGTTAGTCTTAAAAACCTGAGTACTATCAACTTTAAGGAAAGAGTCATGAGATTTTAAGTCAGAAAGGAAAGATTTTGACTAAGGCCAAAATACTCAATAGCTTTCATTCACTTAAAAAAATGCAATCCAATTTCCTCATTTTAAAGATTTCTTTTTTTTTTTTTTTAGTTTTGGAGGAGAATTGAAAGGAAGCAAGAGACTGGTACACAGCGCAAACTTCACTCTTGGCTGTGAAAGACTAGCCAGTTGCTAAAATGCTTTATCATGGAGATGCTCCTATCACATGGAGGACACTGTGACCCTCTTTTTATTACATCCTTCATAGATTATGTATCAATCATACTTTAAAAATGAATTAGATGAAAACAACCAGAAAAGAAAGTAAACAGAGGTTTTTGAGGGATGGGGGATGAGAGATGCAGATCAAGAATCAATAAAGGACTTTTGATAAACCTAGAGAGCGGTTTTAAATTCATTTGACTAAAACTATGGGTACAAGCTTGCCAAATGCTTATGGAGGAGAGGGCAGGCAGGGACAGGGCACAGCAACAGCAGCATTCAGGATCCCTTAATCAGAAAGGGGAGGCATTTAGGAAGACTTCAGATGAGAAAAAGTAATACTCAAAAGACATACTCGACGGCCTTTAATTTTAAAGGAACATCTAGTTTCCGGTGAAAGTAAAGAAGGTGAAGAGTAAAATAAGGATACTCTTTCGACACTGAGGATGTAATATGTAAAAAAACAAGACATAAATAAAAGTTAAAAATGACATGGACGAATGAGACAGAAATATGTTCAAAATTCTTGTCCAAGGTTTTAGCTAGTTTGTAGAGTTAAACTCATGGTAATAAGGGTAGATTCCAATACTCATGGAGAATGAAATAATCAGAGGTAGGATTCAGACCAGGAAAAGAATGTTCCAGGATGCTGGCTTTTTGAAGGCACTCAAGAACAGAGTGAGAGAGACTGAAGCTGCAGTGAGAGTAGAAGATTAGAGAGAGGTGTATACTCACACATCTGTCAGAAAGAAATAAAAACAACTCCAGGAACTGTGGCAATACATGTATCATCGAGTAATACACAGAGTAACAAGGTAGAAAGAAAGCCACTTCACAAGTAGTTTCTTACAACAATATACCTTCTTCTACCTAGGGAACAAGAAAGAGAAGTTTGTTTTCCAGATACGCAACTCTGCAAAGTGGTTTCGACTTAAATAAAGAATTTGATAAATAGTATGTTAGTTAGTTATCTGGGTCTTTAAACAAATTTACTGAAGCTAAAGCTTCATAGTTGGGACAACCAAGGAGTTTGATTTTCCTTTGAATCTTGCAAAACCTATCCTCTAAGACAAAAAGATCTGATCATAAAGTCTATAAAAAGTCTAGAGAGTATAAAAGTATAGAACTATGAAAGTGGATATATTGATGGCAACTTTTATGGCTTCCATAGAAAGTGTAGAGAGGATCTCTGGTTTGCTTCATCGAGGTAGAGTCCAGGGTTGGAAGGTCATCATTATTTATTATAAATGCTACAGATGACAAGAGCAGGTTAGCTAGTGTGCTGTTATTGCATAATAATGCCACTACCTCTAGTGGCTTATGACCTTTCATTCTTGAAAAAAATGATCTTTTGAGAAATTTCCTATCTTAGTTTAGGCAAAGGAAAATTAAAACCCAATATTTACTTGCTCAATTTTATAGTCTGAAGAATTCCAAATGAGGTGACTTTTTTTAACGGTAGTTAGCTGATAAAATTCTTAAATGTACCTTACCCCGTTTTCATGAAATACTTCTCATACAGTCTAGAACAGCATCAAAATATTCATCGTGCGGATCAGCAATGCAATAAAAGTTATCTTTTCTGTATAGTAGCTCCAACAGAAGCGTTTCTCTAACTTAGTTTTTTAGGTGTTTTTTTTATTTTTTTTAACATTAAAACCCACCTACCCTTCTGTTTTACTAACCAAAATCTGCAAGATGGGGTAAACATGTATATGTCTGCAATGGATTTCTATTTCTGTTTCACTTTCTCAAAATTTAAACTTCCAGTGAAATCAAAATGAAACTAAACATACATATCCATTCAATAAACAAAAAACTGAAAACAATTTCAAGAAGTAAAAAATTCAAAGTTTACAAGCATCTCTTCAGAGCATTTTGCCTTCGGTTAGTGTAGTAGGGACAATCAAATTATAGGGAAAGTTCCAACCATAACAAAAAGGTCCTTCCAACAAACATAGTTTTTAAAAAGTAGTACAACTGTGGTAATGTACTCGCTCAGTCATTAATTTAGAACAGTTAATGTAAATGGTAGACTATAAAAGTATACGTAACTGATTTGTAAAGGTTTCTTTCAGTAAGTTTTTTTGCGGAGACCTCCCCCGCTTACTAAAAATAAGAATCAAATCACAAATATACTTGGAAATGAAGCCACATGCCTTTAAATTGTTCATCTTCTTTTCTTCATTCAAATTAAAAAATCTAACTCAGTATGAGCCTATCTGACTCAATTTGAGAAAGCAGCAGCCTTTTATTAAGGCTAAGAAAGAGTTTATATTTGAATGATAAATCCACGAATAAAAAAGTGAAAACAAAACAAAAACAAATGAAAAAACTACACGAAAAATGCAATGCCAACTCAAAAAAGTCCTTGAGAATTTTCCTCAAATAAGTCTTAACTGTAGCAATGATTCAAGCCTTTGCAGATAGTAAAATTAAGTAACGAGGAACAGCCTCAATTTGACATCTATGTAATGCTGAAATGTGGCCTTGTTGTCTTTAAAAGATATAAGTATAGATAAGGGCTGAGAACTCAAACTCCTCCAAAATTCTTTTTGTCATAAACAGGTAACAGGTAGGCAATAAGTTTTGAAGAATTCATGGGGTGCTACAGCATACGTGGGAGAGAACATACCACATAATGCAACTTTTATCTTAGTACAGGACCCCGACCAAATTATCAACCCTGAGTTTGAGTCTTATGCATGTTCGACCTGATACAAATATGTTTAAGGCTTAATCCTGCAGTTCTTATATTCAGAAGCATTAATGTTGTGAATATTCTTAATGCATTTCATTATTCATATGTAATATGACACTGATAAGGAGTCATTTTATTCTGAGCGATTTTCCTGAAGACCACAAATCCCAAGTCAGGGAAGGTATACTTATCTAGGAAAAAAAAATTAGAAGTTTCTAGATTGTTCCACAATACAGTTCACTAAGAATTGTACTGTGTGACAATGCTATTTTTTTTTTTTTAATAATCCTTTTCTGCTTCTGTTAAGGATGGTGGTGATATTTGCTTAATACTGGTTTTCCTGTGTAGCAGATATTTTCTTATGGCTATATTTACTTGAAAAAAATTAAAGATGACTACCTGAATTTTCCAGTGTATAATTATAGTACACCTCATGAAATGGCTGATTCAATGGTCTGAAGTCTAGAATTCAGAATTGCTGCCCAATACTGTAAATTTATTTAGAATAAAATAAGGTATAACCAATTAAGCTACAATTTACATCTTTTTTTAAAAAAAATCATTTTAGTACTACAGGCTTGACCATGAAATAATGATATGTCTATATAAAAGTGTAGATTTACAAACTTGTTCCGGAATGCTAAGGAGATTGTGGAGGTTAGGGGAGACAACCACTAAAGTTATAACAGTCTTAAGCAAGGAATTAGCTTTCCTTATTGGCTTGGGTACCTGGGTGCTCAAAGAATGCATACAAATATTAAAAATACCATTCTTTAAAACTTACATCCAAAAACAGGAAGAAAAATATGTCTTGAGATAATTTTCTGCCTCATTCCAAATTTTTCCTATGCTCATTACAAAAGACAGGCAAAATCGGAAGGAGAAAATTTAAAAACATTAAACCAAAAAGCTAATAGAGAATGTGACATTTTAAAAATAGAGACTTAACATCAATTGAAGGAGTTCCATTTTTTCCTACCACAGAGTTAATCAGCTAGAAAAGTGCTTGAAGCATATCTGCACATTTAATATTAAAAATAAAAAATAAATAAAAGCCAGGGTTCTGATTCAGGCAATGATTTAAGAGCCTGAGGAAAGAAAAATGAAGAGATTTCAAGACTAAAAAGAGGACTGGGAGCAGGCGCTTGTGCCTGTAGTCCCAGCTACTCGGGAGGCTGAGGCAGGAGGATCGCTTGAGCCCAGGAGTTCGAGGCTGCAGTGAGCTATGATTGCACCTGTGAATAGCCACTGCACTCTGGTTTGGGCAACATAGTGAGACCTCATCTCTTTAAAAAAAAAAAAGGTAAGGGAACGACCTAGCCTGGGAACTCAGTTCTCTGAGATAAAGAAATACAAAATTTTAAGCTATACTGAGTCTGGATAAATTGGATCAGTTAAATGTACTCAATACATTAGCCCTTCTGTCCAGTCTTTCCTATAAGCTCCTGGTTCACCATGCTCTTTTGAAGTTTCCTGAACTTGAAAAACTAACCTGCCTAAAGGTATCAGAGGTGCTCTTTCTCTATCACCTAAGAATGCTGGTATCACATAATTATTTGCAGAGGACAGGACAGCAAAACTCAGTTTTTCCCCAATACAATTTAAACTGTGTTAAAACAGCTCAAAGTTGTGGACATACCCACATTTTATATATAACAGACATTTTAAAATTTATAATCAATTTGTCTTCTCACCCAAATTGCTCAACCACTATCAGCAACATCATGTTTGTGATTTTAGTTTACTATTTTAGCTTCTCATAACAATTCTAGAAAAATAAACCAACCTCAAATTGAGAGATTTCAATTTGTCATCCCATAAAAGTAAAACATGAACCAGTTCCTAAGGGCAGTGACAAACAGATGTGACTGAGAAGAAACAATCTCCACTACTTCCTCCTCTTGGCGGTGAACAGCCTTACTCAAATTTTCAAAACATGCAAGCTTTAGGTGACTTCCCCGGAAAAGGCCCAATCCCCTGCAAATCATTTTATTTAATGCACTAACTGAGCCAAATGGCACACGGAGGACAGGAGCATGTCAGTGAGTCTAACAGATATTTTGAGTGTTAAGCAGAGATTTCAAAACTACCAAGTACTTATGCCAAGTTCTAAAAGCAAAACGTCATTTTTGCAGTAACCTGGTCTGGAGACTCTCTCAGACACATCTAGTCTCTGAAGCACCTTTGAGTTGTACGGATGTAAGAATAACTTTGAATTATAGAAGTTATATGTATCTTTAAGAATCACATTTTGATGATTATAAAATTTTTTTCTATTTTACAACATAGGTTCAGCTACACTGAAAAAATTACACCGCTTATTGAAATACATTTCATTTTAGAAACAGACTACTAAAGAAGTCTATACAAAAACTCTAAAATAATTTCTGTAGTAAAATAAAGAGTGCGTTAGGAGAGCTACACAAAGAAGAAAATTTCCATCTTTCTCTATAATGCTTGATATACTGTGAAACATAGCCAGCTCCACTCTGTAGCCAGCACCAAAAGCTGAAAAGAATTCCTTACGATACACAGTGATACAATTAATGCTCTGGATTAATCTCACAGCCTTCCCGATTAGTACAAAGGAAACCAGGCCTATCCCCTCTTTGAGGAGAAGTCCAGGATATAAAAGCAAGCATACCTCATCAGCTGATATGAAATTATAAAATTCCACAAGTCTGAGTATTTGAAACTTATAAAAGTCACCAGAAAATGCAAGCAAATTGGGCTTCAGTTCGGTGGTTCCCCTGGTTTAGAAGACAGTTTCCTCCGTGAGCTCAGGGTAGTCGTCTTGTTCATTCTCTTGGACCTGGTGATTCACCAAGACAATGACAAAGCCCCTGGTGGGGGCTGAGGAGAGCCTGAGAACTACAGAAATGCTCACCGACTCCCTCTGCCAACTCACACGTGGGAACGTAACTCCCGGAGAACACACTTAAGGAGACGGATGTTAATGATGCTGGGCTGAACTGTTCTTCTCTGCCAGGTGCCGCAGAAAGTTGTCCTCACTCTGGCCTCTGTGATTTAAAGGCTCACTCTTAAAGAGAGCCGGAGGCGGGGGGAGGTGAGGGACTGGAGGGATGGGAAGGTGGTGCGGGTGGTGAGGGTGCGGGTGGAGGTGAAGGTGCGAGAAGGGGTGGGGGATGGGCCGAGGGGGAAGAGTGCTTACGGGGTTCATACTGATTGGAGGGGCGGGGGTCGTGGGTGTGTTCACCACCGAAGGAACTGGGGTGGCTGGGGAAGTGGTGAGTGGGATCTGAACAGCAGGCGGCACATTCACGGGGCTGGTCACTCGAAAGCACTTCTCCTTGTGGGCCTTAAGCATGTTGGAGAAGCGGAACCGCTGGCCACACACGTCACATGGATAGGGCTTCTCGCCTGTGTGAGTTCTGCGGTGCCTCTTCATGTTGGGGCGGCTGGTGAAGCTTTTGCCACAGATTTCACAGATAAAGGGTTTCTCTCCTGAATGAACACAGACACAAAAAATTATTAACATACTAGGCGGTAATCATGCGCTTATGCGATTCCTCATATTTAAAAAGGAGATTACCACTTCTCTCCCTCATGGCATGTTATTAATGTATTCTAAAGTCATAAAAGAGTCTCCTAAATTGGGACTTAACAGAGCAGAGTAGATACAAGCAAACTTATACACAACCTACCATCCGGGCTTGGGTTAGAGGAGGAGGAGGGGGACGTGGAAGAGAGGAGGAGGTATCTAGATTAGCCGCCCTTCACATTCTGCACAAAGAGCTGTTCAAATGGCTTTCCTGTGCCGGGGGGAACTAATATCACAGACGAGTCTCTGCCTCTAAATTTAGGCAAGTTAAGTTGTAAGAAATTTCTGATATCCCAACCAAAAGTAAGACTGCTGAAAATGTCCTGTGGAGCAAATAAATCTCTTCTCTACTCATACAGAATCCTTAGCATGTGGCTTGCTTTTTGGTATTAAGCTTGGAACATACTGGCCTGACTCACCAGACAACATGAATTTCACACTGCGGTATTTCTCAGAGGGAGAGCTATTGGCATTTTTGCAGATAATTCTTCATTGCAGGACTATCTGGCACACTGAAGAGCGTTCAGCATTTCTCGTGCCAGCCTACTAAATGCCCACAAGGGATTCTGACAATCAAAAATGCCCCCACATCATTTCCAAATGTCCATGGGTGTGGGAAGGGTAGAGGGGGGCCATTGCTCCTGGTTGCGAACCACTGGGCCAATGAGTCGAAAAGGAAACAGAATCCACAGTTCTACGGCACACTTAGGAGGAAATTAAGTTTGGGTTCTGAGGACTTAATTTTTAAGCTTCCTAACTTTCCTTTGAACTTATTGCTTAGTTCGTGCTATGTCTGCCTGCTTCTCTACCCATGCTATAGAGAAATAAAATGATTTTTTGAGTCTTTACATCCGTTAACCATTTCGTAGGGGATGCTGAGGTGAGGTGTGGAGTAGCCAAGTCCATGCACTTTGGTGACCATATGCTCGCATTTATCCACATGCTCGTATTTATCCATTCCTGCATGTGTTCTCCCCAGCACATATCTTTACAGTAACTCCTGCCACTAGAGTTTGCTGTCACTTCAATTGCTGTTCCCTTTCCTCCCAGGAGGTGTGCTTAGGCTACTCACGCGTACCGAGTCTTGCAGTACACTAGGAACTGCTCTCATCGCTTTGTATCTATTAGCCTTGGTGATCCTCACAACCACTGTATGAGGTAGGTATGTGATTGGCCCTATTTTACTGATGAGGGAATTAAGAAACTTGCCCAAGGTTAGTGGGGAGTTGGGATTTAAAACTGTGCAGTCTGGCTCCAGAGTGTATGCTTGTGACACGTAAACCGCAGCACTTCCCACCTCAACGTGCATTTCTGCACACAGGAAGGGATGCATTTTCTTATGTTTCCCTCCACTTCGGGACCCTTCTTATACTGCTAGTGGCAGACATCTCTTTACCCATATCATAGCCCTATTTCTCTCAACCTTCTCATTCTAGTAGAAGACTGACATCCTCTACTGCCCTTTTCCATGAAAGCCAGGATTTTCCTCAGTTTCCTGATTGAAGAGTTAGGAGGGATCAGTTTTCTCTGTAATTAACTGTCAGTACTATTTTCAGACTATCATATTTCTCTCATCTTTCTGCTTTTCATTATTCAATCACTACCACTGCTAGGTTCTTCACCATGATTCATGTTCATCTTTCTGGATGAGTTCTGGGCCCAGTCTGTTTTCCCTTTTTTTTAGACAGAGTCTAGCTCTTGTTGCCCCAGCTAGAGTACAGTGGTATCATCATAGGTCACTGTAACCTCAAATTCCTGGGCTCAAGTGATCCCCCTGCCTCAGCCTCCCAAGTAGCTGGGACTACAGACATGCATCATTGTGCCAAGCTAATTTTTTCTATTTTTAGTGGAGATGGGGTCTCAAGCTCTTGACCTCAAGTGATCCTCCAGCCTTAGCCTCCCAGAGCGCTAAGATAACATTCATGAGCCATTGCACTCAACGCATCCTCCAATCATCTTAAAAACTTCAAATCATATGTTAAATAGAATTGATTAAATCAATTATGGTATATGAAAATACCATAATTTCCATACCATGATGGAAAATGCCACTGAAAACAATGTGTTAAAGAAATGTAATTATTAACATGAAAACTTTTAATCTATTAAGATTATCTATAATCTATTAAGTTAAACAAGTTATGAAAATATACGCATGGTATTATGCACCTTTAATGAAAATTATGCATAGAAAAAATGTGGAAAGAAATGTAACAAATGTTACCAGTGATTATCTCTAGGTGATGGGATTATAAATGATGTTTACTTTATTCATTCATTTATTTTTATTTATTTATTTATTTTTTGAGACAGAGTCTCACTCTTTTGCCCAGGCTAGAGTGAGTGCCGTGGCGTCTGCCTAGCTCACAGCAACCTCAAACTCCTGGGCTCAAGTGATCCTTCTGCCTCAGCCTCCCAAGTAGCTGGGATTACAGGCATGCGCCATCATGCCCGGCTAATTTTTTTTTTATATATATTTTTAGTTGTCTGATTAATTTCTTTCTATTTTTAGTAGAGACGGGGTCTCGCTCTTGCTCAGGCTGGTCTCGAACTCCTGAGCTCAAACAATCCGCCCGCCTCGGCCTCCCAGAGTGCTAGGATTACAGGCGTGAGCCACTGCGCCCGGCCCATTCATTTATTTTTGAGGCAGTGTCTCACTCTGTTGCCCAGGCTGAAATGTGGTGGCACAATCATGGCTCACTGCAGCCTGGAAGTCCTGGGCTCAAGTGATCCTCCCACCTCAGCCTCCAGAGTAGCTGGGACTACAGGAGCACGCCACCATGCCCAGCTTAATGTTTTTTATTTTTTGTAGAAAAGGGGTCTTGTCATGTTGCCCAGGCTGGTCTCAAACTACTGGCCTCAAAGCAATCCTGCTGCCTTGGCCTCCCAAAGCGCTGTGAATACAGGTGTAAGCCACCACACCCAACCTATATTTCCAACCTAAATCTCTTTCTTGTGCTTTAAACTGATTTTTCAAACTGCTTACTGGATATTTCCACTTGAATGCCCCAAGGACATCTCCAAACTAACAAGTGCAAAATTAAATTCATTATCCCACCTAGCAAACCTGCTCCCCACTCTTCTATTCTCTATCTTGACAAATGGTATAAAAGCCCCAAATCTGGGACTGACCCTTGATTTTCCCCTCCCATCCTGGTGATATCTACCCAATCATCAAATTCATTTGATTCTGCCTTTATTTTATCCATTGCTATTATCATAGTCTTATCATCGCAATGGTCACCTGGATTATGCAATATCCACCTGATGGGTTTCACCAACTCTCTTCCTGCTCCCGACTCTCTAGTCCATTTTCTACACTGTAGCCAGAATAAGCATGCAAATAGTGTGCCTCTTTCTGCTCAAAACCCTGCAAGAACTTCTCACTGTCCTTAAAGTCCAAAATATTTTACATGGCTTATGAGGTTCTTTGTGATCTATCTGCTGTTCTCCAGTATCATGTCTTGTCATACTTTGCCCCTCACACATCCGAACACTCTTTAGTTCTACACATTCACTGTGCTCTTTCCACCAAACCACTGTAGGCCTTGCTAGTCTATCAGCCCAGCCTGACTATAAGTTCTGTGCACCTAGGGACTATTTCAGTCTCACTCACCACAGTGGCCCCACTTAGTAGGCTCTTAATCAAAATTTATAAGTAAATATTTGTTAATTCTAAGATGTGTATTTCCTCCCACATTTTAACATCTCTGAAATTGGCATATACCTTGTATCAATGGCATGTCACTGTTTAATTTGCAGCATTTTCTTAGCAGTATATAAATTGAAGTTTGTTTTGCAACTGATGGCTTCTTGGATTGTATGAAGTATGACACTCATCGTTAAGATCATTCAATTACCTTCCTTTACTCTAATTCCCTGACAATCTTCTGATTGTAATTTAGCTTCCAGTGTAGATTTTTCTTTAGGCAAAGAATATGCTGACCAAAGAACATTAAGAGTTCTGAACTATTTGCCACTCAGCTTTTTCACTGTAAATTAATAAATTAGCAATTTTTTTTATATATCATTAGGACTATTTAGCACATATCAGTCCCTCTGATCCTGATCTACTTGAGTGCACTGACAAATCCTGGATGCTGTGAACTAGATCTTACAATGGTGCTTTTTATACTAATGATGTCCTGTATATCCCTCTATTTTATTACTTGCTATATTAAATTTATATCAGAATCATTAAATATGTGGTTCTGCAATCAGACTGCCTTGGGCAAGTTATTTAATCTCTCAGCCTCAGATTCCTGATCTGAAAAATAAATAACCTACCTAGTAGGTTATTGTGATACAAAACACAAGTAAAGTGCTTACAACAGTATCTGGCACAGAGTAGATGCTCAAAGCATTTTAGCTGCTATCATCATCATCATCATCATCATCATCATCATCATCATCACTATCATCACCATTCATTCATCAGACTATAAGCTCCCTGAGAGCAGAAACAGGGTTTTAATTCATCCTTATGTCCCCAGGCACTTGATACTGGTATAAGGATGAGCAGCAGGTATTCTACTTTGAAGTCACCTCATGTCCATACCATCCTAGGAAATCTGCCTGAAGGCTGGTCAGCTTCCCTAGATGAGATCTGCCTCACTTCTCTTTCTTTCTTCTTTGACACAGGGTCTCACTCTGTGTCCCAGGCTAGAGTACAGTGGCATCATCATAGCTCACTGAAACCTCAAACTCCTGGGCTCAAGGATTCTCCTGCTGCAGCCTCCCAAGTAGCTGGGACTACAGGCATGACCCATAGTGCCTGGCCCACCTCACTTCTCTTTAACTGCAAAAAAAACCCCAGCCCATTCAATGTCAGTTCCTATAATGACCTTAATCCCCACCAAAACATACTGCCATCTCTAAATGTGATTTCATCCAGCCTTATAAGACCTATCCTTTTCCTTCTTTAAAGCTAACCCTTCTCTTGTACCCTCTCAAGTACTATTGCCATTCTTATTTAATACCAAGAAACTAAAGGTCTACAGAGGTCACACTATTCCGCTAGTGATAGGAAAAGCCAGGTTTTCCTAACTCCATCATCCAGCTGCTGTCCCCATTTGAGTATTACAAACAATATTAAAAGGCAGATGACAAACCAGGGAAAAGTATTTCAATATTGGTATCAAACAGGTCCAGTATACTTAGTATATAAAGAGCTATTATGAACAATAAGAAAAGTAATTTATCATAGCACAATTCACAATTGCAAAGATGTGGAATCAACCTAAGTGTCCATCAATTCATGAGTGGTATATATACACCACGGAGTACTATTCAGCCATAAAAAGGAATGAAATAATGTGATTTGCAGCAACTTGGATGGAACTGGAGACCATTATCCTAAGTGAAGTATTGCAGGAATGGAAAACCAAAATCCATTATGTTCTCACTAATAAGTGGGAGCTAACAGATAGGTACACATGGGCACAAAGCAATATAAAAGACAGGAGAAACCAAGAAGTGGGGAGGGCAAGAGAGAGAGTGTGGTATAAAAATTTACCTATTGGGTACAATGAACACTATTCTGGTGATGGGCACACCAAAAGCCCTCACTTAAGCATTATACCAGATAGCCATGTAACAAAAACATTTGTACCCCCTTAATCAATATTTTGAAATTAAAAAAAAAAAAAAGTCAAACACTACCATGGAAAGATGAACACAGAAAAGGCACAAGAAGCAATTCAGAAAGGAAAATATACTGATACCCACAAGCATATGAACAAATGTTCAGTCTTACTTAGTAATTATATAAATGCAAATTAATATAATAAGAAACCATTTCTTGTCTATAGAATCAGCAAGGTTTTATTTACTATTAGATAGGATTGGGGATGGGCATGGTGGCTCACGCCTGTAATCCTAGCACTTTGGGAGGCCAAAGTGGGAGGATTGCTTTGAGGCCAGGAGTTTGAGATCAGCTTGGGCAACACAGCAAAACCCTGTCTCTATAAAAAATAAAAAAATTAGCTGGTATGGTGGTGTGTACCTGTAGTCCTAGCTACCCGGGAGGCTGAGGCAGGAGGACTGTTTGAATCCAGGAGTTTGAGGTTACAGTGAGCTATGACACTACTGTACTCTAGCCCAGGGAACAGAGCAAGACACTGTCTCAAAAAAGGGGGGGGGGCGGTTGGGGAATTGGGTATTTTCACGCATAGCTGGTGGGAATATATGTGGAGGGCGATTTTGCAATACATGTCACCAAGTCTTAATAATGTATACATCTCTTTGCTCTAATAATCCTGCTTTCAGGAATTTATCCTAAGTAAATAACCATGGATGCTTTAGCCACAAAGATATTTATCACAGTATTATTTAAAACAGTAGAAAAATTGCAAACAGAAATAACCTAAATGTCCAACAGGGAGCTGGCTAAATAAATACAGAAAACATCCTTCACTTTATAGGACTGTTATAAAGGTTATATGGATTAAATAAGATAATGTATGTAAGCACTTGAGATAATGCTTGACATATAGGCACATAATAAATGATAGTTATTAATACAGCCAATTTATAAGAAGGAATATTAAATAGCCATATTGCTAACAATGACATAACATAGTAAAACAAAAAGCAGGTTACAATAAAGTATAAAAACCCAACTTTTGTTTTATTACCATACATATGAACACATATGCATAGTATCTGTCTGTATGTGTGTTAAGAAACTAAAGAATTTTTTTAAAAATGAGTGTATGCCAAAATGTTAGCAGTGGTGATCTCTTGGTGGCAAGATCTTATTTTTATTTTGTTTGTAATTTTCATAGGTTCTAACATTCTTTAATAAATATTAAATACATATTATCCTTTTAATGAGAAAGAAAAAAACTTACATGAATTTAGGTGGTTGTATTCCTTTAGAAGAAATATGAAATGTTTGGCTTGCTTATTTAGTCAAAGAAGAATACTTAACACAAAATTTTACTCAGTAACTAAACTAATCACAAAATACACACTTTGGTTTCATATTATAGATATTTAAGGGTCTGAAGAAAAAAAAGAAGGACAAAGGGGAAGAAGGAAAGAGAAAAAATGCAGAAGGAGGGAGGAAGGAATGGGGAGAAAGACACACAGGGAAACACGCAGAGAAAAGAAGGTGGGATGCAGAGGCAGAGACTTAGTGCTGGAGGTTCCTTTACCAAGCACCTGTGTGCCAAGTACTATGTATGCGTATGATACAACTTCTGCCTTCAGAAAAACTTATGTTCTGTCTAGTTCCATAGTTTCCTGCCAAATAACAACAACGACAAACAAATCCTAAAAGTGACTCAATTAGAACTAAGAGTCTACCTAAGAGCTACCAAATTATAAGAGGAGAATCTGTTAAATACTCTGATTGTTAAATACTGATATATAAATAACTCTGATATATCCTATCCACTTGGCTACATCTTCAAAATTAGCATTATCTTTTGAGTTCTAATTTAACTAATTAAACTGTTCTCATGACTCTTCAGCTAGCCTAATCCTTAAAATCTGAGGGTGCTCTGTTCTGAATGAGAAAGAAGCCCACCAGATGGGCATTTTTCTTTGGACTTCAACAGAGAAAAGGGAACTAAAGAGATCCAGCCATGGGCAGAATTTCCTCACCACTAGTTAAGCAAAAAGAATAGCAGGCTACGCAAGCTAATCTCATGGTTCTTTCTAGCTCTGCTACTCCGCAGACTAACAGAACCTAGAATCCTACGATTAGATTTTATTTAGAAATCTGAAAAACGTTTCATGCTGTTCAATTTATGCAAAGATGGCTAATCCCAGTACATCAAGTTCAAATTGAGATGCAATGATGGTGTTTACAAGGGGAACTATTATTTTAGCCAGTTCCCTGGAAGCTGGATAATCAGATGCTCATAAGATTCAGCATATACCCCTAAAATCACAAAGTGATTAAAATATTATTTAATCTCATTTAATGGATGTGTTCCTGGAAAGTAGTGAATTTTGGTAAATCAAATCCAAACAAACTTCAAGAATGTTGAGAGGGTATTAAATAAGCAGTCAGTGCCCTCCATTTGTTTAAGGTCCAGATCCCTTTCCTTTGAAAAATAACGTTCACATGTACACAAAACAAGTGTCACGTAATTTCAGGAGTTCTGAACCCCAACTAAAGAACTCATGGTCTGAAAAGAACTCACAGTTAAAAGGCACTCACAAATAATCCTTTTAAAAGTAATGAGAGTTACGAAAACCAAATTCTTCAGTATTAAATCTATATTTTTATATATGAGGTTTATTTAAAGTGGGATTTTCACTTAGAATGCAAATTTGTGGTTTAGATTTTTGAAACACGGACCCACAGACGATCATGAACGAGTGCTTGAGACATATCTGTACCCTTCCCAAGAACTTCTTACCAGTGTGTGTTTTCATGTGCTCGTCGAAGTACTGCTTCATGTTGAAGTCCTTGCCGCACCACTGGCACATGAACTGCTTGTGCCCAATGTGGATGCTCATGTGGGAGCGCAGCTGGTACTTGTACTGAAACCTTTCGTCGCAGTTCTGCATTGGACACAGCGGAGATTTTTGAATGCCAAGCCCAGCAGCTTTACCTGAGCCCACCCTGACACGGTCTCTGACATTAGGTTTATTTTTCATCCTCAGAACAGAACCTGCTTGTGTCAGCTATTTGGCTTTGCTGTAATTCTGCCGCTGACTTCCTAATAAAAGGGAAATTTCCTCACGTAATTATCACTGAAGTATACTTAACTTTTCTGAGTCACCGAGCAAAGAAAAATAAATCGTTATGTATTATTCCCAAGTTAACCTGAACTGAGAGTTAACAGCGTATTAAAAATGGCCTTTCTCTACTAGCAGCGAGAGAACACATGAAGCTCAGAGCGCGTGTCTGAGGGTTCTGTGGCAGGCAGCCTTGTGGCTTGTGCTCCAGCATGCCTCTCTCTCGCTGCTACACCATAGACACAAACGCTGACCCCTAGGCCTCGGCCTGTGGGGAGCACATTCCTTACCTCACACCTGAAGGGCTTCTCTCCAGAATGCTGCAAGGAGTGCACCTTGAGTGACATACTGCGTTTGAATGACTTTCCACAGGTTTCACATGTAAATGGCATGTCTTTCGTGTGTGCTGCAACACAGAATGTACTTATACTCAAAATGAATCCACCAAAAAGTTCCAACTGGAAAAGACAGATGTCCTACTGTAAGGTAATTTTGCCATCTTCATTTTCTACACTCTGATTTGTGAGGCTTTAATAGTAATGTTCTGAAGAGGAAAATAACAGTGTTGAAAAGAAATCTGGAGCTGGGCACAGTGGCTCACACCTGTAATCCTAGCACTCTGGGAGGCCAAGGCGGGAAGACTACTTGAGGTCAGCAGTTTGAGACCAGCCTGAGCAAGAGCAAGACCCCATCTCTACTAAAAATAGAAAAATTAGCTGGGCATGGTGGCACACGCCTGCAGTCCTGGCTACTCAGGAGGCTGAGGCAGGAGGATCACTTGAGCTCAGGAGTTTGAGGTTGCAGTGAGCTATGATGCTGCTGCTGCATTCTACCCAGGGAAGCAGAGCAAGACTCTGTCTCAAAAAAAAAAAAAAAAAAAGAAAAGAAAAGGAAAGAAATCTGGGTGTGGAAGACTATACCGTCCAATTTGGTGATGCTTACTGAGGACATGTTGTATTTAGTTTCAACACGTCAAAACTGATTAAAGTAAGGAAATTCTTCATATCCTTCCCAATCCAGGGCATAAAGCACATGAGAAAAAAACATAGGTGTGAGAGAAAAGAAGCAGAAAAAACTTACCAACCATGTGTTTCCGCACGTGAGCCATGGTATAGAATTTCTTTTCACAAATTTCACAGGAAAACTTCTTTTCTGCATATCCATGGACAATCTTGATATGTTCATGAAGGGACCAGAGTTTCTTGAATGATTTGTTACAGGAAACACACTGAGCAGGATAAATAGAAAGAATCTTTATTTACAGGGGCTTGCAGAAAGCCATACCAACCTACAGGCAGATGAAATGGATGTGCTTTAGGTTCATGGCACAAGGCCGGAATCCAGATAAGTGCTATTCTTCCACGGAGTGCACATTCCAACACCAACATCTGTATGTTCTATTTTCCAAGATGCGTCTTTTACACATGCTTTGGGAATATGAAAACAGCGGCAAAAGCTAAGATAAAAAGTGGAAAGTTCCACTAATATCAAAGAATTGACTGCTATTATTAAGTTAGTATTATACCTATGAAGAGAACCTTCAAGTTTCTTAAATATATGGATTAGCAAGGACAGCTGCCTCCTACACATGGATCACCATGCAGTTAATAGGTTTTTACCAGAGAACACAAACTCACTTAAATTAGCATAAATAAAAACAAGATGAAACAGAATATATATTAATGGCTATAGATCTGCAGGAGTATAAAAATGTTTTTATACCTTATAAAATACATTTAGAGTTTTCATTAACACAAATAACTGAGATTTTATTATATTTTCCCAAAAGTAATTCATTCTATTAAACATTTCCCTCTGGCAGAATTTAACATAATCCCTAAACTGTTAGTATGACTCTCCCTTTTCCCCTATATCCCGGATCTAGAGCTCTCTTACATGCATCTATAGAAAACACATGCCACATTGCCTAGGCCCTTGCATTATGAATCATTAATAGCTTGGAATATCCAAGTATATCAAAATAAAATATTTCTGGTTAAAGCAAAACAATACCAGAAAGTTGGTGGTAATTATCAGGCTCTGGGATACTTAGAGAACAAGTTAGTATTTGCTGTAAATAAAGATCTCTGAACATGATTGCCACTTCAGGAAACAAGAACCCTGAGACAAGTTAAAAGATAAGCCTCTGGCTAGATACTGCTCTAGAAAAGGACAGACTAGTCCTATAAGCCATTTTGTAGGGCAGGGTTGAAATTTTTGCTTGCTACCAGGTCATCAGGATTGTTAGGATCTATGCATAAGGACAAAGCACACTTTTTTAGGAATATGAAGAGAGTTCATTTTCATTTAGCAGAATCCACAAAACGTAAACACAAGCATAAAAGTATTAGGATGAGGAATACTGAGGAAAGTCACAAAAAAAGGATTTATCAAATGTTTTCTGTAACTTAATAAAGCAAATTTAAGTAAAAAACCCAATATATAAAGATCAAGAACACCTTTTCAATAATGAATCACTACAGAGTCCAGTTCGACCTCTAGGGTGCAGCACTGCATCACACTCCTTTAGGCCTGAAGTGTTGCAGCCAACTCATAACCATGCCAGGGTGTTAGCAGTTACTGGAGGATATGGGCGCCATGACTCAGTCTTCTTTTATTTGCCCAGCGTGTCGGAGATCAAGTCACAATTGATGAATCAAAAGCAGTGAATTTTTAGCAATGCAATCTCTATTTTTCAAAACTTTCTTTAAAGTAAAGCAATGATCTCAGTTGTTGATTAAAAGAACAGAAGAAAAGTGAAACTTATGACTACCAATATTAGCAGCACTCCAAAAAACAAACCAAAACAATTTACCTTTTTTAAAAAGTTTAACTTAAACATGGTACAAGATATTTCTATTTTACATATTTTACGGAGACATTAATAGACTTAATGACTATTCACTAATATGCATTCACATGTGCAAACCAATATAACTTCAATCTGCTCAGCATAATATAATTAACACACCTCTTAACCTATTGCAATATAGTCCTTTCAAGACATCAGCCTGGTTTGAATACCATACTTTGTTACCTTAACAATACTGTACAGTAGCATTATGTACCCCTACTGCCAGGTGGGCAACATTTTTAACCAGCTCAGCCTCTGATTAAAGTTTGCATATTCCCACGGACTCACTCAGCCTCTTGACAAATTTAGTGTTGTCATCTCTCCACTGGTAAAAGCAAACTCACTCCTGGAGATCTTCCATTTCCACCGGTCTGAGTCATTATGGTTTTTGTCCCCATCAGCTGCACTAGAATCTGGCATCCTTTTAAGGCTAGACAGGGACCTTTCTCTACTCCTGACCTTCACTCAGTATCTCCCGCCTTGACAGAGAAGATGCCAGAATGAATTATATTACATGTCCTGCAACAGTGAATCTCAGTGCAAAGTTGGTGTTGACTTTACCTCCTGGTCAATCAACTATAACAGATCCCCCTTCCAGTGTACCTGGGTTCCCACTAGTCCAGCGTCAGTTAAATTTAATGCCTTTGAAATAAAATGTTAAGCCTCGGTTTTGAAAAGACCAAAGCAGGAGCTTTTCAAATGATAAATTGGTGAAATCTGTCCCTTCAGCCTCTATTGTATTTATTCTCTTGGGCAGATACAAGATGAATCTGAACAGCCAGGTTCTATCCTGAAAAGTTTGCCCTCTCGGTGATGAAACCTACCTGAATGTTTTTTTCACAGTCTGTTTGCTGGTGAAGGGACAGCTCACTTTCCAGGACAAACTTCTTGCCACACTTATCACAAATCTGCATGCGCCTGTGAGTAACGTTCATGTGCTTCTCCAGGTACCAGCGAGTGTTAAATACCCTGGGGCACTTCTCACAGGTCAGAGTCTCTTTCTCTTCACACTTAGCTTTCTGGACTGGTGCTTTGGGCTCCTTTGTGGCCCGCTTCTTACGCTTAGGTGGCTCTACATTCTTCCTACGACCTCTTGTAGTTCTGGGAGTAGGGGAAGTGGTAGCTGCGGCAACAGAGGCAGCTCTCCTCGTTCTCCTTTGTGTAACGCTGACTTTCTCCACCATCTTCTCCTTTTTCTTCTGCTTTTCATTCTCTCCATAGTCATTGCTGTCATCTGTGGCCTCTTCCTCACTTTCTTCCTCTTCCTCCTCACTGCTTGTCTTAAGAACAGGAGTCTCTTTGGACTGTGAAGAGACACCCTTTTCCCCTTTAGACACATTTAATGTTTGATTATTAAGGTTTACCTCTACTATGATCTGCTCCCTTTTGTAAGAGACTTCTTCCTCTTCTTCCTCCTCGTCCGTGTCATCAGAATTCTCCTGGTCTTCTTTAACAGCATGCACGTCAGACACTGCTCTCGTCTCCCTGAAATACGGCTCTTCCTCTGTTTCATGGAGATGCGGTTTGCTCATCTTGGTGTCCACTAACACAGAATAAGGACTTCCTGATTCCCTTTTGTACACTTTGGTGGACAGGTCAAGTTCTTGGTTGGCACCATGATAAAACGTAGATGGCACTTGGCCACGACGGCTATCTTCTTGTGCCATCCCTGCTACATGCACAGCACAGTTTTCAACCAGCTCTTGACAAGAACTGGCTGTGTGGCTCATTGGTAAGTGGCCCAATTTATTAAGCAGTTCAGACTATAGAGAAATAGCTTTAAAACAAGGTAATTATTAAGACTCAAATCTTTTTCCATCCACAAGGAATCACTCAAATAAAATTAAAAAAAAAAAATTATTCCTGGAACCTGTGTGCAAATCTTCCAGTGTTGCGGCACCAAAGTATAAGTCAAAAAGGTTTGGTATTATGGCAAGAGCAGAGCACTAGTGACTTTTTTTCTGAAGAGAACTGCAAGGGACTTGGAGCATCTTACCTACAAAGGAAAGCAAAGAGAAAAAAAAATCAGATACCACCATTTCCTTTTTATAGCATGCATTTAAATCACAACAAACATAGCTTAAAATTATTAAACTCTTTATGTATGCAATGCTTTTTACTGCTTAAATAGTTCAACATGGGCCTTTATTTTACTGGATTACAGGAATTCACAAACATTTTGCTAAAATATAAATTCCATAACAGCAAGAGCCACATCTGTCCAGCTCGCCAAGATATCCTTAGAGTTTAGCACAGTGCCAAGCACAGAGTATATATATCTAATGAATAAATAAATATCTACTATTGCATAGCATTCATTTTCCTAGATACTATGTGACATATTGATATGGCGAGATATATGGTCTTCGTCCACAGGGCCTTTTCAGTCTAGTTACACAATATGTGTTGCGCACGAAACACACAAGAGCTTTATTCTACTGGCTGGTTTGCTTTCAACATCAGTCGCTGTATCCACCACAGTGAGAGCTCGCAGAACAAAGGTGGTAGTGGGATAGGTACAGTGAACCATGGAAATAAAACAGCTAATTGAAATAACTATAGAAGAGAAAGAAAATGTCCCTGGCTTTAAAAAATGTATAATCTAGGTGTAGATATAATTGTTTGCAGGTTTATTAGAGTAATTTGAAAGTTGCTAAGTATTTTTAAAGTTGTTCTATGCATAGCTTTACTAGATCCACTCAATAACTGGGTCACTTTTCATGTGTCAGTTACACAGAAGTCTAAATTCTAAGAAACAGTAACCATCAGGTTGTTATGGTTCCAAGAAAAATAAAACCATCCATTAAAAAAAAAGATTAAAAGACTCATAGTTTGATCTGTGACATACCTCACATTGCTGTTTAGCCAACCACCTAACCCTCTGACTCATATGAATATTACTGTAGGCACATACCCCGTCTAGCTGACAAAAGGAAAGGAAATTAGTATTTATTAAAGGCCTGCTATGTGCATAGGTACTATAAAAATTTTTATTATTATTTCAATATCCACCACAAAACTTTGAGGTTGGTTTTTAAACTCATTTTTCAAATTAAAGTAACCATTAAAAGAAAAAAAAAAAAGCATCCATAGTTTTTACAAGTCAAATAGACTGGCCCTACTCCAAGCCCCATTCTCCCCAGAGGCAATAATACTATTTTAGCTATCCCCTCCAACCCCCATATTTATTCTTGTTATTTCTGCACAACATGATTTTATTTCTATTTCTTGCCTTTTTTTTCCAACTTCAGATATTACCTCATCTCCCACAGTTTTTTTACCTTATTTTTCCCAACTCTCCCCTCATCCTCCCAATATAGTTGTATCACAATTTTTAAAAAATCAATATTTACTGCACATATAACAATATAACTATTAGTCCACAACTATTACTATCATCCTTTTGCTATTATTTTCTCTTCCATTTTCTTTGTCCTTATGGAGTTACTCCTTTTTTTTTTCCTCTCTTTTTTTATTTTTAAACTTTTTGTAGAGACAGGGTCTCGCTATGTTGCCCAGGCTGGTCTTAAACTCCTGGCATCAAGTGATCCTCTTGCCTCAGCCTCCCAAAGTGCTGAGATTACACGTGTGAGCCTGTAAGGTCTAGCCTTATTCTTTTTGAAAAGAAATTATTTTACTTTCAACTTCAGTGGAATTGCAGAAAGGAGTGGTAATAAATGCCACTGTGTTTTACTTGACATTTGAGTAGATATATTTATACTTTCTTGTATTCATAAATGAGGCAGTTACGGCTCAGAGAGGCTAAATAATTTGCCTAAGATCACATATCCAATCACGGAAGCAGTGTTTGACTCTCAGCCTGCCTGACTCCACAGCCCATGCCCACGGTCTTTCTATTTCTACTATGATGAATGGTGCCCTGAAATAATTTAAACTCGTTGTAACCGTGTATCTTTTTGCATCAGATAGTTTCACAGCTTATATTTTAAGTAGGGAAATCCTAGTAGCTTAATTCTACATGTACCAAAACTTCTGACCCATGGAAATAATATAAACTACTGTAAGTATCACTTAAATAAACTTACTCATGTTGTCTCAAATTAAGCAAGGGAGAAGTGACAGTGAAATTCAATTAACTAGCAAAACCTAGGAGTTAAAGAAAAATCAGAAAGACAAATACAAAAATGAAAGGAAATCCTCAGTGGTATTCATTAATTCGTTTTCCAAATATTTCTGGCTCTTGGCTTTCTGGACATGTGATAGGACTACACTTTCTAACCCTCACCTCCTCTGTAGTTGGGTAGGGCCCTGTGACTACTTCTGGCCAGCAACAGGGGGAAGGCCAGGGTATTTCCTAACCAATATGAGACTTTTCAGACTTCTTTTCCCTCTGGCACAGTGACTAGCAATCTTCAAAGTGAAGGCTGCTATTAGCCTAGGTCCCCAAATGACTGAGATGACCTACAGGATACACACAGTGTGTTTTTAAAGCCACCGAGATCTGGCATTGCTTATTACTGCAGCATAACTGGCTTATCCTGAGACAGGTAGAACCCAGAAGTGAGGTGCTGTCTCATCAAGAAACCTAAAACATACGGCAGAGGCTTAGGAGCGGGGTGGAAGGAGGCAAGGAAAGTTACTGGAGGCTAAAAGATTAGCAATTTATATTACGCAGTGGTGAAATTATCAGTGAAACTATCACCTAGTTATCTTAGAAGGTAGATAATGTACCACAAAAGCTAGTAGCTCGGGCCGGGTGTGTGCGGTGGCTCACACCTGTAATCCTAGCACTCTGGGAGGCTGAGGCGGCCAGATCGTTTGAGCTCAGGAGTTCGAGACCAGCCTGAGTAAGAGCAAGACCCCGTCTCTATTAAAAAAATAGAAAGAAATTGGCCAAACAACTAAAAATAGAAAAAATTAGCCAGGCATAGTGGCGTGTGCCTGTAGTCCCAGTTACCTGGGAGGCTGAGGCAGGAGGATCACTTGAGCCCAGGAGTCTTAGGTTGCTGTGAGCTAGGCTGACGCCACAGCACTCTAGCTCAGGCAAGAGAATGAGACTCTGTCTCAAAAAAAAAAAAAAGCTAGTAGCTCTAGTGGGAAAATGGACTATTACGAGAGTGTGTTCATTACTGTTAGTTTTATTTAACAAATTATTACATGAAAAGGACGAATTTAGAAAAGAAATGATCAGTTTACAATCAAGAATAAAAGGAGTCTAGCATATTAGGGATTTGTAGGGTTGAGAAGAGGCAAGTGCTTAATGTAAAACTCAGGTCTTTGAGCAACAAAGGTTGAGTAGAATTCAGTCTTGAGACAAGGATGAAATCAAATATTTGGACTTCATAATCATTGATAACACCTCCTGATTAAGGTGGTGCTCAATAAAATAGCTTTTCTAGGCCAGGTGTGGTGGCTCATGCCTATAATCCTAACACTTTGGGAGGCCAAGGAGTTTAAGATCAGCCTGATCAAGAGTGAGACTCTGTCGGTACAAAAAATAGAAAAATTAGCCAGGCACAGTGGCGCATGCCTGTTGTCCCAGCTATTTGGGAGGCAGAGGCAGGAGGATCGCTTGAGCCCAGGAGTTTGAGAGGTTGCTGTGAGCTGTGATGACACTACTGCACTCCAGCCTACGCAAAGAGAGATCCTGCCTCAAAAAAAGAAAAAAAAAAAGCTTTTCTAAAAAAAGACTAAAGATGAGTTTTGCTACAAAGCATATTGTTCTAATGAGAACTAGTTCAAATGCTATTAGTAAACAGGGAAATGATGTCAGTATAACTCAGAAGTAATGCTAGTTTATACAAGATTTCCCCAGTGAGTTAATGTTTGAAGTGATCAGGAGCAAGCTTTCTCACAATTAAAAAGAAAGCCTTATACAAAGAGCTTAAGAAAAGATAACACCCTACTTCTGTACCTTCTTTAAAAGCAAGCACTGGTTTGTTCAGTGGCTTCATCAACCACTACACTTTCCACTTTATGCCTGGTGAAGGTAAGAGTACAGGCACACTTCCGGTATGTTGTAGATTCAGTTCCAGAACACTGCAATAAAGCAAGCCACATGAATTTTTTGGTTTCCTCATGCATATGAAAGTTGAGTTTACATTATCTTGTAGTCTATTATATTAAGTGTGCAATAGCATTATGTCTAAAAAACAATGTACATACCTTAATAAAAAATACTTTATTGCCAAAAAATGCTAATGATCATCTGAGCCTTCAGCAAGGGGTAATCTTTTTGCTGGTGGAGGGTCTTGCCCTGATGTCGATGGCTGCGGACTGATCAGGGTGGTGGTTCCTGCAAGGTGGGGTGGCTGTGGCGATTTCTTAAAATAAGACAGCAATGAAGTTTGCCACATGGATATTCTTCCTTTCATGAAAAATTCCCGTCGCATGTGATGTTGTTTCATACCATCTTACTCACAGAATTTCTTTCAAAATTGGAGTCAGTCCTCTCAAACTCTGTCACTGCTTTATCAACTAAGTTGATGCAATATTCTAAATCCTTTGTTGTCATTTCAACAATGTGCACAGCATCTTCATCAGGAGCAGATTCCATTTCAAGAAACCACTTTCTCTCCTCATCCATAAGAAGCAGCTCCTCATCCGTTCAAGTTTTATTATGAGACTGCAGCACATTCAGCCACATCTTCGGGCTCCAATTCTAATTCTCTTGCTGTATCTACCATACCTGCAGTTCCTTCTGCCACCGAAGTCCTGAGCCCCTCGAAAAAGTCATCCATGAGGGGTGGAATCAACTTCTTCCAAACTCCTGTCAATGTTGATATTTTGACTTCCTCCCATGAATCATGAATATTTTTAATAGCATCTAGAATGGTGAATCCTTTCCAGAAGGTTTTCAATTTACTTTGCCCAGATCCATCAAAGAAATCACTATTTATGTCAGCTATACAGCCTTAAAAAATGTATTGCTTAAATAATCTTTAGGTCAATAGCGTGACATAAAAAATAAAAATAAATAAAATAATAAGATTTGAAAGTAAAAATACTCCTTGATACATGGGCTGCAGAACAGA